GCAATCCCTGGTGACTTAGCATTCAAATATATGAGCTTATGGGGGTCATTCTTATTTAAACCACGACATTCTACTCCCTGGTCCCCATAGGCCTGTAGCTATATCATAATGCAAAAATGATTTCAGACTAAGTTCAAAAGTTCCCATAATCCATCACAGTCTCAACTGTGGGGAGGAGGGGGTTTCGAGGCAGAGCTTCTCTGTGGCTTTGGAGGCTGTCCTGGAACTAGCTCTTGTAGACCAGGCTAGTCTCAAACTCACAGAGATCTGCCTGCCTCTGCCTCCCGAGTGCTGGGAACAAAGGCATGCGCCACCACTGCCCAGTTTGTGGCAATCTCTTAACTGAATCCCCGTAAAAATAGAAAAGCAGACCACATACTTCCAACATACAGTGACACAGAATGTACATTGCCATTCCAAAAGTGGGGAAAGGGAACACAGGTTGGAAATAATGGACCAACACAAGACCAAAAACAGCAAGGTTAACTCCAAATTCTGCATCTCCATGTCTGATACCAAAGTGCTCTTCAGATTGCCAGTTCAGCTTTGTTAACTAAAACACACTTCTCTCTCTTGAGCTGGTTCCACACCCAGTCTGCAGCTTTTCTTGGCAGGTATCCCAGTACTCTGGCATCTCCAACATCTTGGGGTCTCCAACACAATCCAGGCTTCCTCTTCACAGCTTCACACAATGGCATCTCTGGGCCTCTGCAGGTACACTTGGCCTCATCAGCTTCTCTTAGCCCCTGAGGGAGATTCTACAACTTGGCCAAAACTGCCAAATTCTGTGGATTGTTGGGGCTGGAATTTAGCCCCCTGGGTTCAATAACAATTGCATCAACTTTCTACTGTTGATGGTTTCCTTTACTGCTTAAGCTTTTCTTTAATTCCTTTACACAATTTGGAAGGTAGAGATTGCAAATCAGTCCTAAGTGAGTTTTATTTATTTTTCCCCCGAGGCAGGGTTTCTCTGTATTGCTTTGGAGCCTGGCCTGGAACTGGCTCTGTAGACCAGGCTGGCCTTGAATTCACAGAGATACGCCTGCCTCTGCCTCCCGAATTCTGGGATTAAAGGTGTGAGCCATCACTGCCTGGCCAAACTGAGTTTTTAAAAAGAGTTTCCAAATTTAGAAATTAGGGTTTTTTGTTTTTTTTTTTTTTTCACTAAAAAAATCTAAATTCTGGGCTGAGGAGATAGCTTCATGAGTAAATGCTGACCACAGGATCAGAAGGACCTCAGCCCAATTCCTGAGGCTGAGATATAGAGGCTGTCCTGGAACTAGCTCTTGTAGACCAGACTGGTCTCGAACTCACAGAGATCTGCCTGCCTCTACCTCCCGAGTGCTGGGATTAAAGGCATGCACCACCAACGCCTGGCTTTCTTTTTGTTTTTTAAGACAGCGTTTGTCTGTAGCTTTTGGAGCCTGTCCTGGAACTTGCTCTGTAGACCAGGCTGTCCTGGAACTCACAGAGATCCATCTGACTCTGCTTCCCAAGTGCTGGAGTTAAAGGCGTGCGCCGCCGCCACCACCACCTGGTTCAGTTCCTAAAACCCATGTGAAAAATGGGCACGGTGTGGGCTTGCAGTCCCAGCACTGGGGAGGCTGAGGCCCTGGGGCTTGCCAGGCAGCCAGCCTCGTTTACTTGGTAAATTCCAGGACAGTGAGAGATGGTGGGAGGGAACAATGGCAGCTGAGGGCTGACACCTAAAATGGGCTTCTAACAAGCCCACATCTGTGCCAGCGTATGCACACATATCTGAACCTCTGGTGAGAGCTTCCATCTACTCTCTCGTTTTCTCCCGCTCTCTTTAAAAATCTCAGAAGACACACCAATGCTTGGCCTGCATTCCTTTCCTTCCTGGTTAAGGGTAACAGCTGGCCCCTTTACTAAAGCATGCTTGAGTTATAGTCTTACCACACTCATACATACATACAGTTGGACTGTGTAACTTCAGTCTAAACCATGGCTTGACGCTTGGTGTGCATTGCCTGTTAGATATTGTTATTGATATTTATCATATTTTCAGAAAAACCCCGATCTTCCATACGGATAAGGAACATACCCTATTTTCAGATTCTCCAATGCCCACCTAGCACAGTCATCTAAATATAGGTGAAGTCCAGCTGTACAGGTCTGTAAGCCTTGAATCAGGAAGCTGAGGGAGACCAAGTTCAAGGCCAGTGAGACTCAAAATACTGTAACAGAAAACAAACCAGTGACAAAAAAAAAAAAAAAAAGCCAAAACAAAGCAAAGCTTTCAGGGGCACTCTGATGCCACTGCACTAGCTTATCCATTACCATGACTTAAAAGTTGCAAGGTCAGGGCTGGAGAGATGGCTCAGAGGTTAAGAGCAAGGACTGCTCTTCTAGAGGTCCCGAGTTCAATTCCCAGAAACCACATGGTGGCTCACAACCATCTACAATGAGATATGGTGTCCTCTTCTGGTCTGCAGATATATATGGAAAGCAGAATGTTGTATACTAAATAAATAAAATCTTTTTTAAAAAAAGAAGTTGCAAGGTCAGATGACATATCTGTTTTGTTTTGGTTTTCCAGATAAAGTTTCTCTGTGTAGCCCTGGCTATCCTGGACCTCACTCTGTAGGCCAGGCTGGCCTCAACTCAGAGATCCCCTTGCTTTTGCTTCCCCAGTGCTGGGAGTAAAGGGGTGTGCTACTGCTTCCTGGGTACTGGAATTACAGGTCTATACTATCATACCAGGCCCAGAGGTCATATCTTTTAAAACAATTATTTATCTATGTGTGTGTGTGTGTACGTTTGTGTGTAGAACACAGAACAACTTTTGGGAGTCAGCCCTAGCCTTTCATCTTTTTTTTTTTTTTTCAAGACAGGGTTTCTCTGTATAGCTTTGGAGCCTGGCCTGGAACTGGCTCTGTAGACTAGGCTGGCCTCGAACTCACAGAGATCCGCCTGCCTCTACCTCCCGTGTGCTGGGATTAAAGGTGTGCGCCACCAATGCCCGGCCTTTTTTTCTTTTTTTTAAATTTATTGCCTCGAGATGGTGGTTTATGCCTTTAATTCCAGCATTCAGGAAGAAGAGATTCATGAATCTCTGAGTTCAAGGCCAGCCTGATCTACAGAGTGAGTTCCAGGCCAGTCAGGGCTACACAGAGAAACTCTGTCTCGAAAGTCCCCTCTCCCACCCACCCTTCCCAAAAGAAGAAGGAAAGAAAGAGAGAAATCTTATCTTTTTTTAAAAAAAAAAAAAAAAGAGCTGGAGCAATGACTCAGCAGTTAGAAGCACTGACTGATCTTCTAGAGGACACAAATGTGATCTCCAGCATCCACATGACAGACAGCTCACTCCCATCTGCCATCGGTAATTTCAGTTCTAGGGAACAATACCCCTTTCTGACCTCTGAGAACACTACATGCACACGATGCCCAGACATACATGCAGACAAAACATCCATCCACACAAAATAACAAAACAAAAACGTTTACTATCTTAAATTGTGTGTATATATGTGGGGTGTGCATGCACAAGTGTGAGTGCAAGTGTTGTCTGTAAGACCAGAAGAAGGTGTCAGAGTTCTTAGACTGTTGGATAGTCGCAAATCATCAGTATGGGTGCTGAGAATCGAACTTGTGGCCTCTAGAAGGGGAGTACTTCCTCTTCACTGCTGATACATCTCTCCAGCCTCCCACGGACAGGTTTTGTTGTTGTTGTTGTTGTTGTTTTGGTTTTTTTTCGAGACAGGGTTTCTTTGTGTATCTTTGGAGCCTATCCTGGCACTCGCTCTGGAGACCAGGCTGGCCTCGAACTCACAGAGATCTGCCTGCTTCTCCCACGTACAGTTTTAAAAGGTCTACTACATTATCACTAATAGGTAGTATGATAACAAGCCCGTGAGGTAGACCCCAACGAACTCAACTTTCTGTTACTATCTGGCTCTTGTTTAGTCGTCTTTCATGCCTGTGTTGATCTGTGTCATTGAAAAACTGCAGAAGAATGGCAGTATGTCCTTTCTAAGGCAGGGTCATAGGAGCATTACAGCTTGCTGCTTCTGTCCTGCTTTACTGTCAAGTGCATCCTTTCTCAGTAACAGAGATGGTTCTTTTACCCAAATTAGGTAAAATGTTGCCTTCTAAGCAGGATCTGAAGATCCACTCACCCGTGGGGGATCTTAGACTCTTACCCTATCCCTGTAATATTTATATAAAACTGCACATAAGTTAGGATAGAGGTGGTGGTGGCGCATGCCTCTTATCCCAGGCCTTGGGAGGCAGAGGCAAGCAGGTAACAATGAGTTCAAGGCCGGCCTGGTCTACAAAGTGAGTTCCATGAAAGTGTTATACAAGGAAACCTTGTCTCGAAAAAAACAAAAACAAAAAAAGATTTCTTACCCAGGCAGTAGTGGTGCACGCCTTTACTCCCAGCACTCAGGAGGCAGAGGCAGACAGAGCTCTGTAAGCTCGGGGCCAGCCTGGTCTACAGAGATAGTTCCAGGGCACCCAGGGCTGTTACACAGAGAAACCCTGTCAGGAGCAGGAGTAGTAAAAACAAACCTATTAGATGATTTTTTTTTTCTCTCTCTCTCTCTCTACTCCACCCCCTCAAGCCTTAACAGTCCTGGAATTCGCTCTGTGGACCAGGCTGTCTCGAACTTTCAGAGATCTGCCTGCCTCTGCCTCTGCCTCCCGGGGCGCCACCACTGCCCCGCGCTGATTTTTAATTAAATTTGTATCAACTTCGGACGACTTATTCATTATACATACTTTGGTTAAAAACAAGTTTCTTGCTTATCTCCCGTGATTTTACAACAAAACAAAACTTTCGTGAAGAGCAATTTTCTGAGAGTCACCCGGGTTCCCAGTAAGGAAGTCACGTCCCCGCGCCTCCGTAGCACGTGACCCTATGACCCAAGAAGCCATCTTAAGGCTCGCCTCATAGAGGAAACTACAACTCCCAGAATGCCTGCGCTTTGCGTCGTGCTGGCACTTTTACTGGCCCAGCCTTAGAGCCCAGTCTGTAGCCGGGCGCCATCTTTGACGCTGGCAGTCTTGGATTTCTGCTTGTTCTGCTGCTGTGAGGACGGCGGGCCACCGCGGCTAAGGAAAGAGAAAGACGTGGCAGCACGCGGGAATCGGAGACTGTGTCATCGGTTCGGTAAAGTTTCTGTTCTCTGGTAACTAGACCCGTTTTTTGATTCCCGGGTGACTTGGGGCCTGGGAGGGAGGAGAGGGCGAGGGGAGTGGCAGCGGCCTCCCCTCGCCCGAGTTTCGGCCTAGCCCGGGAAGTCCGAGCTGGGCCCATCAGCGCGGCAGCTACCGGGACTCCCGCCCACGGCCCTGGTCTGCCGGGCTCCTAGCCAGACTCCAGCTCACTTTCCCTCCCTCCCTGCCCCCACCCGCTCTGCCCCACCCCCAAGGCCCTTTTTCCCTCACCAACCTCTTCCCTTCCCCCCACATCCGGTGTTCCCGAACCGGGATTCCGGGGTAGCCCCCGAAGAGTGACTGTTTCAGACCCCCGGGGGAGGAACAGACACCAGGTTGCTTTTTTTCCCAGAATCAGTTTCTTTAGTTAGCCGACCCTCCCTCCCTAAATCAGAAGGAGCGCCTGGACCCGAGTTTACCTACTCTCGTTCCTCTCTAGGGTCCTACTACTTGGAGATTTTCTCATATTCCACATACATAGTCGAATTCTGGTGTCCTATACCCATTCCCCACCCTGGTTACTCTCCCACCCTAGCCCTCGTCATCGAAGTCAAGAGCTACAGGGACTCTTCGTTCTTGTAGGATTGGTGAGACCGTAATGAAGAACACCCCTTAGACGCCCCCTAATCGGTGCGGATCCCTATGGGGAAGGCTCGTTTTGTTGACATCTACCAGGCTTTGGTTCTGAATCCTTGAGAAGGCCGCTGTGGAGCTAGTGATAGCCATGCTTTCGTAGGGTAAACGTGTTGGTATTGGGGGAAGGGGAGGGAATCCACGGAAAAGGAGTGGAAGTGGTTTAAAGCGCATTTTAGTTTTTGTTGCTCGTAGAATGTCAACTTGTGAGTTATGAACAGGCTGGAACGTTTTGCTTCAGCCTAAAAATATGAACTCTTGATAGAAACCGTAAATGAAAAATATAGCTTGTTACCTTGTTTTAAAATTTTATTTCCAGATAATTTTTTTTCAGCCACCTACATTTTCCAAAATGTCAGAACAGGAAGGGCACAACTAGTTTACAGCTTATGACCAGTATGTGGAATCTGATTTAGCTTTCCAGAATTGACTTTTTGGGTTGTATTGGCCAGTCACAGTCCTATATGGTGTCGGTTGAATGATGCACTGTGTTTAAGTGAAATTTCCTGAAAATAATCTCAAAATTAAGGGAAAATCAATGTTGTTGTCATGTGGATTCATTGAAAGTACATATTTTTTAAGAACTGAAGGTGTTTTTAGCAGACAACGTTCTTGATACAGCAGCGTTAATATGAACCTTCAATTGGAAAACTTGACCTTTAGCTGCTCCAGATTCCATGACTGTGGGAAAATGGACCTCAGTTCTTTTTTGTATAACATGAGGACTCTGGACTGTTTGAATTCAGAAAGTTAAAAGGACTCCTAAAGCCCTGCAAGACAGCGTTGGGAATGTTCTCCATTGCTGTCATTTTTCCTCCAAAAATAACCTGGCTTGGAAGTCATTGGTTGAAAGGGAACTTGACTCCCCGTAGAAACTGGAGGGAAGGTAATACAAGTAAAGAGGGACAGCTGTATTTCTGCCAGAGTAGTAAACCCACCAAAAGGTTCTGGTACGGATTTTGGAGACATAAAGAGAATGAGCTTATGTACTTTAAATGTACCAGTTTCCTCGATTTCTCCTGGCAGAAGATGCAGTACTTTTAGTGATGCTGGGATTCTGGAATGTGTTTCCATTAATTCAAATACAGAAGAAGATGATGTGGTAGAGGAAAAGATGGTGGCAGAAGGAGTGAATAAAGAGACAAAATTGCCTACTAAAAAGAAAAGAAAGAAGGGTTTGCGGATTAAGGGGAAAAGGCGCCGAAAAAAATTGATTCTTGCCAAAAAATTTAGTAAGGATTTGGGGTCTGGAAGACCTGTTGCAGATGCCCCTGCCTTGTTAGCTTCCAGTGCTCCTGAGCAAGATGAAGAAAGTCTTTTTGAGAACAATATAGAAAAGCAAATCTATCTACCTAGTACTAGAGCCAAGACCTCCATTGTATGGCACTTCTTTCATGTTGACCCCCAATATACCTGGAGAGCTATCTGTAACCTGTGTGAAAAAAGTGTCAGCAGGGGTAAGCCAGGCAGCCATCTTGGTACATCTACTCTTCAACGACATCTGCAGGCAAGGCATTCTCCTCACTGGACCAGAGCCAACAAGTTTGGAGTCACTAACGGTGATGAGGACTTTACCTTGGATTTATCTTTATCTCCTTCTTCTCCTGGAAGCAATGAAAGCTTTGAGTATATTCCTACTGATTCATTAGATGAAAACAGAATGGGTAAGAAACGCGATAAATCAGCATCCGATGCCCTGAGGGCAAAAAGAGGGAGATTTCTCATCAAAAGCAACATTGTCAAGCATGCCTTAATTCCTGGAACCAGAGCCAAGACATCTGCAGTTTGGAATTTTTTTTATACTGATCCTCAGCACATCTCAAGAGCTGTGTGTAACATTTGTAAAAGAAGTGTGAGCCGGGGTAGGCCAGGTTCCCACTTAGGAACATCAACACTTCAACGACACCTTCAGGCCACACATCCCATCCATTGGGCTGTTGCCAACAAAGACAATGGTGCTATTGGAGATGGATTAGATGAGACTGAGACTGAGGGCAGCGATCTCTTGACTGACACTTTGCATGGAGAGAAGTCATCAGGCAGACAGGATTTAACAGCTGAGGACCTTAGTGACTCTGATACTGATGAACCTCCTATTTTAGAGGTTGAAAATAGATCTGAGAGTCCTGTTCCTGCTCCACAGCAAGATAATCTGGTGCATGCACAAGAGAGTGAAACAACACCACATTGTGAAAATGCAGCCTCAAGTCAGATAAGCCAGGCAGTTATTCAGATGATAGTGGAAGATATGCACCCTTACAACTATTTCTCAACCCCAGCTTTCCAGAGGTTTCTACAGATTGTTGCTCCTGACTATAGATTGCCATCAGAGACTTTCTTTTTCACCAAAGCTGTACCTCAGTTATATGATTCTGTTAGAGAAAAAATTTTCTTAACTTTAGAGAATGTTCAAAGCCAAAAGATCCACCTGACTGTTGACATATGGACCCATGACCCTTCCACTGACTATTTCATTGTGACTGTACATTGGGTCTCTTTGGAAGCTGCATCTTCCCCAAGTAATGGTGGGACCTCCAATTTTAGAAAGTGGGCAGTACTTTGTGTTACAGGTTTAGCCAAAGACTGTTTGATAACTAACATTTTACAAGAATTAAATGACCAGATTGGTCTATGGCTTTCTCCTAATTTCCTTATCCCTAGCTTCATTGTTTCTGACAATTCCTCTAATGTGGTACATGCAATCAAAGGTGGTGGTTTTACCCATGTGCCATGCTTCCTGCATTGTTTAAATATAGTGATTCAGGACTTCTTCTGTGAGCACAAAAGTATTGAGAATATGTTAGTGGCTGCTAGAAAAACCTGTCATCATTTTAGCCATTCAGTCAAAGCCCGCCAGATACTACAAGAGTTCCAAAACGATCACCAGCTTCCATGGAAGGATCTGAAGCAGGATGAAACTGGCCACTGGATTTCTACCTTTTATATGTTAAAATGGCTTTTAGAGCATTGCTACTCTGTTCACCATAGTCTGGGTAGAGCCAGTGGAGTTGTGCTTACCTCCCTTCAATGGACTCTAATGACTTACGTTTGTGATATTCTTAAGCCATTTGAGGAGGCCACCCAGAAAGTGAGTGTGAAGACCACCGGATTGAATCAGGTGCTACCCCTAATCCATCATCTCCTCTTTTCCCTGCAGAGACTCAGAGAAGATTTTCAAGTCAGAGGTATTACTCAGGCCCTCAATCTGGTGGACAGTTTATCTTTGAAACTTGAAACTGATGCCCTACTAAGTGCCATGCTCAAATCCAAGCATTGTATCTTGGCTACTTTGTTAGATCCTTGTTTTAAGAACAGTTTGGAAGACTTTTTTCCTGAAGGTGCTGATTTAGAAACTTATAAACAGATCCTTGCAGAAGAGGTTTGTAATTATATGGAATCTTCGCCGGGGGCCTGCCAAATTGCAACCTCGGAAGCATCTGGCCCTTTAGTTAGATTAGGAACTGATTCATTTACTTCTATAAAAGAAGGCACCTCCAATTCAGATTCTATGGATAGCTCAGCCGCAGACAGTGTTGCTATTGGAAGCAAAAGCTTCCTGTTCCCCTCTGCTGTAGCAGTAGTGGATGAGTACTTCAAAGAGAAGTATTCAGAGCTTTCAGGAGGTGATGACCCTTTGGTTTACTGGCAGAGGAAGGTGAGCATATGGCCAGCTTTGACCCAAGTTGCCATTCAGTATCTAAGTTGCCCCATGTGTAGTTGGCAATCTGAGTGCATGTTTACCACAAACAGCCGCTTTCATCCAAAGCAGATCATGAACATGGACTTTGATAATATAGAACAGCTGATATTTCTGAAAATGAACTTGGAGAATGTTAACTATGACTATTCTACATTGATTCTGAGCTGGGACCCTGAAAATAAGGCTGTTCAGAACAATGAAAAAGAAATATTACCTTAATTTCTTTTTCCTTTTTCTACTTAAAATGGGCAGCTTTTGCTATATTATTATATCTTATTGCTATTGTTATTATATGTAGTCGTACTATTTATTCTTTAAAAAAAAAATAGCTGGGTGTGGTCATGGGTGCCTATAGTCCTGGCTATTTGAGATGATGAGGCTGAATTATGACTTCAGCACATGAGTTTGAGACCAGCCGGGGCAACATATTAATAAGATCCTGTCTTACAAAAATGCAAAACCTAGGGAAATCCAAACATACTAAAAGGCTGAAAACTCCGCAGAGGCAATACAATGATGATAAAATGAGGGTTAACTTTGAAGATTTCACAGTTGTAACTCAGTGTAGCTAACGTCTAAGTGTCATGTATATCAATTGAGAGAGAAAAGAGTGTTAATGAGAAAATACAGTGCAGCTTTGAAGGGCTTAGGTATTTCTGGTTGGTAGATTGAACTAGTCATTGATTTGAGTACAAATGTCTTCCATCATGGAAGGTTTGATTATTCTGAAATCAGTGATTCAGGACTTCTGTGAGCACAAACATCTTTAGAATGTGTTAGTGCCTACACTAACATTTCTTTCCCTTCCCTATTTTTTAATTTCTTTAAAACCCCTGACATGGCTTGACAGAAGGAAAACCCACAAAATTGTTTCATACTTGGAAATCATAATTACCTCATACTGGTCTGTTTATAATGTCAAATTACTGGGTATGATAAAATTGCCCTTTATAGTTAGGATTAGGTCTGTATAAAAGGGGAACATTACAAAACAATTAGAAAAAAGATGGCTTTTAGTCTTTTATAATACAGTACAAAAACAAGGATTATATAGATGCCTTTGTATAACCTATTAATAAAAAACATTAAATGTAAAATCAAAAACCATTGAATGGAATTTCGAATGCAGGCCTCATAACATGGCAAACCCAGTATGAATCTCCCAGAGAATATTTCTATAGTTTGTTCATTTCTTTAAAAGGGTACTTTATGGTCCATGGTATTCCTAACTATGGAGTTTGGGCCACTGTATTAACAGAAATAAGCAGTTATATTTTACTGGATTAGGCATCATTGTTTAAAATGAGTGAAGTGATCTCAGTGGCCCTTCAGGTTCCTTTCCACTCGAAGAGTCTGTTTCTGTGACTGAGTGGGAGGCCAGAAAATGATCACTTTTATTAAGTCTATTAGACGTTTCAGACTGAATAACTAATGTAAGATCCCAATTTTTCCTTTTTTTCATTTTAGATTTGGGGATATTCCCTGCCCAAAAAATTCCTGGAAAATTGACTAGTATTAAGTGTGAGTAAAAGGTGTCCACTTTTTTTTAAAGTCTTAATTTTAGTTTTGTCTTGGATAGTGTTTGGCAAGATTTAGCTTAGAAAGTATGTAGTATTTATTACATAAGAATCAAAATGGCTTTGTTACTGGGCTGGTTTTGAAACTCATTTCTGTGTATCAAAATAACTTTTTTTAATTTTTAAATTCTTAAAAATTTAAATTCATTGTGAAGTGAAATTTCATCTACCCCCAAATTTACCCCTTTACCAACTGGAGTGAAGTCTTTAGTTATAACCATCAATAGTAAAGAATTTGGAACTAGTGTGTCAACAAGCCTTTGCAGGGCCAGCATTGAGTGCCATGCCAGTGATGCTTGTGTTGATATAAAGGAGGAAAAATAGCTTCCTTTAGTGTCTCTGTGTTTTGCCTGAGCTGGTTCGGAATGGCTATAATGCTGCTCTGCCTTCTTCAGCTCGCTGCCCCACTCTGTAGTTACTCTGTAACTATACGCTTCTACCTTTTTTGGTTAAACACTCCCTGATAATGATTGTTATACATACCATAGACATTGACATATATATCAGTGTATCCATATATATGGATTTCTTTTCATCTTGATTTTGTGGCTGGGTAAAATTCAGTAAAATTAACTTCATGGTACTTTGGTATAAGAGTAAGTTCACTATTTTTATAATGAACCCAAATCTGAAGGCTTTTATATTATATTTTAAAAAGGATAATTACCCAAATGTTTTATTTCTATACATTTGTGTATGTGTATAAGCCTGTTAGTATATATGTATATGCATATTATATACATTAAACACTTTATATTTTTACATACAGTATGCTTTTATTATACAGATAATAAAGATGGGGGAAGGTTTCTGTTTTTTTTCTTAATAGGTGAAGAAATCTTGAAGACCAGAAATTGGATCTTATTGAATTTTGGTGGTGTTTTTTGTTTTTACTTTTTGTTTTTACGTTTTTCAATTTTTTTTCATCTTTTTATTTTTTAATTATATTGCTCAGCTATGGAAGATGGATTCTTTTTTTTTTTTTTCTTTGAATCTCAAGTTCATCTTTAAATGAACTTTTTTGTTTGTTTTTGAGGAGATACTGATGCTAGCTATCTCCAGTCTGACAGAGGTTATGCAAATGGACTTAATCTTCCAGGAGTTGGGAGATATTTTAAAGATGTTTTAAAAACACTTCCTGTGTTTCAATTGTGGCTGAGAGGTTTCCTTGGCAATGTGAGGAAGAAAATTCTTTCTACCTCATTATTATTAATTCATGGATTGAGTGTTGGTTCGACCTACAGGCGTAATAGCTTGGAACTCAGTGAAGACACAGATGTCCCTGTTGAGAGCAACCAGCTAATGTAAGTGGAGATGGGTCTTTATCAAGAAAGCAGTAAACACTGTCATTTAAGTCATGCTGGACTAATAACAAATTCAAATGCCATTGACTAACCTTTTTTTCCTCTTGTGATTTTTTTTTTTTATAAGCTTTCAATTTTTTGAATGGAAACTAACTTTCTTCTTTCTTCCTGGAGCCAAGGTGAAACTATGATTCTGTTCCCTTGGAGAAAAAAGCATTGTTAATTTGTTACCAAATAGCTCCTTGTCCACACAAGTGGCTCTGTTTTGTCTTTTTAGTAGCTATGTAGTATATATTTCACTGTATGGATGTGCCATAATGTATAACTCACTGGGCAATATTGAAGGTAAATAAAAGTCCTGCATCCAGTAACAGTTGGTGCACACATCTGTGCGAACTTAGAACCAGCTCACTCATAGAGTGGGTTACATTACTCTCTGAAGAACTAACAATTTACTGAACACCTGAGGTCTGCCTTATCTACGGAAGCTGTTGATTGTATCCCTTTTAGTAAAGATACTAAATCTTTGGCCATTTTGCTAATAGTTTGATTATTGCTATATAAATGTTTTCTCTTTTTATTACTTTTGTTGTTAATAGTTTTTACTCAATACATTGTTGGTTATATATACTTAATATTCAACTGCTGTTTAAGGATTACAATTACATAATATAACCCCTCTGCAAGTAGGGGAGACATTGTTAGATGTGGCTTGTCTTTGTGTTGAATGCATTTATGAGTTCTGAAAGGTTTTTAATATAGAAATCTAAGGATCTGACACTTCTGCTGTTATGGGACTTTTCAGAGACTTTTTCTCAAATGGCTGACTTTATTGTTAATTTCAAACTTTTTATAACGGAATTTATTGCCTTTTTGCATTGCTGATTTGTATAGTTGTATATATTTGACATTTAACTATTTTTATACTTATCATCTCTATGAGAACAAAACTCTTCCATTCCTTTTTTTCTTTCCATTTTCATGTGTGTAGCATGTATGTGTATGCATGTTTGCATATGTGTGGGGGTGCATGTGGAGACCCCTAATTATGTTGAGAATCATCTTCCTTGTGTCTTTAAGTCAAACCCAGATCTCTCTGATACACTGGTCTGTAGATCTCTGAACAGCTAGTTCGTTCTGGGGCTTCCTTGTTCTGGGGCTTTCCGGGGATGGGCTTGTTAGATGAGGACTGCCTTGCCCACATGGCATTTTATGTGAAGATCTCAAGCTCTAGCCTTAATGCTTGTACAACAGCAAGCACTGTAACCTCTGAGCCATCTCCCCAACCTTTTTCCAGTTTCTTTTAAATGACCTTTATTTTTCTCAGCTATTGGTAGTTGACTTTACAGTCTTAAATTACAGGAAGAAATTCTCCTTGGTATTTTGAATTGCATGTTGGGTGTTCATTATTTGGGTGCTGAAATAACTTCCTTATTATCTATTGTCCCAATTATGAATAACTCAGTTCTTCTATTCCTTGTCACTGCTTAGCTTTTGGTTTTATATTTAATATGGCTCTGCATGTTTCATTTTCATCATCCTTTACAGCCTTACTCTGAATTGTTATCTTAAGGCAACAAATGTACTGTTTTGGTATATCTTTCTTTTATAGTCTTGCTGTTTTCAGTACTTCCCAGTTGGTTGTTAGATTGCTAGTTTGTAAGCTTTCAATTTGCAGACATTGGATTGTGGTGTTGTGTCGTGTCCGTCCGTCCCACCCCTCCCCCCGTTTGTCTGTGTAGCCCTGGCTGTTCTGGAACTTGTTCTGAAGACTAGGCTGGCCTCAACTCAGATCTGCCTCTTCCTCTGGAATGCTGAGATTAAAGGGGTATGCCACCATTCCCTGGATTGTTTTTTAAGTCCCTCCTATCTAGTATTTGTGCTCAAGCTCATACATGTACTGGGACACTGGAATGGAATTGAGTGATGAGAAGAATGAGTATTCCTTTGTCTTGAGTAAACTAGTGTTTTACTATGGGGTGTGTGTGTGTGTGTGTGTGTGTGTGTGTGTGTATGTATGTATGTATGTACACATGCATGTGTGAAGGGACTTACTTAGAGAATGCCTGCCTAATATCTATAAAGTCATGGTTTGTTTTCAGTAACAGCATAAACCAAGCAGGGGTTGGACACCTGTGATCCTTGATCAACCTGAAATAAATGAACCTTTTGCTGGTTTCCCAAAAGCAGGGGAGGGAGAAGTAGTAGTAGTTCCTTGTAATTTATTAGTAGATAAGGTTTGGTTTGGGGTCCTTTGTGGTTTTGTTTTGTCGTTATTGACCCAGGGGTCTCTTGTAGCCCATGCTGGCCTCAACTCGGTATGTAGCTGAGGATGACCTATGTATTACCACACTTGACTTTTTAACACCCCCCCCCAAGGTTTCTTTGTGTTATGTGTGTGCTTGCTTAAGTATGTGCACATTGTGCATCTGTGTGCACACATGAACCTGTACAGAGGTCAGGGAGGAACTGTGGATGTTGGTTTTGGACTTCCACCTTGTTTCGGGTAGAGCCTTGCTCATCTCTGTGAGGAAATCCCTGGGATTCTCTTGTCTCTGCCACCCATCTTAAATAGGAACCCAGGTTTGTGTGACCAACTGGCTTTACTTGGATTCTGGGAATCTGAACTCAGATCTCATGCTTGTGTGAACAAGTGCTTTCTCCACTGAGCTGTCTACCCACCCCCAATCAGAAATGAGTATTGCATTTTGACTTGGTTATTTAGCCATTATACTTTTTTTTTTGATGTCATCATAAGCCTTTTATTTTCATTATTTTTAGTTTTCATTAGTGTAATGGGTTTCCTAACATTAAACCACTCTTAGTTGTGTAGTAAACCTTTCAGATCATGCAATGTTACTCTTTCTACTATATCAAAGGTCACTTAGTGCTTTACTTGGGATATTTTCATTAGTATCATCCTTTTTGTTAACATTTTTGAACTGGATATATCTTTTGATCCCAGCAATTGGGAAGCAGACGCAGGAGGATAACAGCTTTGGTTAGCCTACAAAACTATATTGAGACCCCACTTAAAGCAACATAAACTTTTGAAACATGTGACATAGTTTTGTTTTTTTTTCTACTTACACTAATTTTTTCTTATTAGAATATTTGCTTAAATATTGTTAAAAACCCTCAACACGTTGAATATATTGATAGTATTTTTTTTTTCTTTTTGGTTTTTCGAGACAGGGTTTCTCTGTGACTTTGGAGGCTGTCCTGGAACTAGCTCTTGTAGATCAGGCTGGTCTTGAACTCACAGAGATCCTCCTGCCTCTGCCTTCCGAGTGCTGGGATTAAAGGCGTGCTCCACCAACGCCGACCGAGGGTTTTTTGTTGTTGTTGTTGTTTTTGTTTTTGTTTTTGTTTTCAAAATAAAATAGCACAATAAAAATAATTTTCCTACTACTATCATGGCTGTTATCATTTTGGTTTCTGTACTTTGATATTCTTACTTGCTCATGAATGTCCTCACCAGCATTTCTTTTGGTTTTGTTTTTCTTTCTGTTTGTTTTGTTTTGAGTCAGTATCTTACTTTGTGGGCCCTGTGGCCTGGTATCCACTGTGCTGGCCTCAGCTTCCCACATGCTCTGTGCAGAGCACACCTCTTCTCTTTCTTTTCCTTTCTTTTGTCTCCTTCTGATTTTTTTCTTTTTGAACCATGGATAGGCTGGAATGTACCTAAATCTTCAACCTCTGTTTCCTAATTTGCTTAGTAGTTCCTCTCTTGTACATATGTTTCCCATCTCTGTGTTGCTATAAACACTGAGCAGAAGCTACTGGTGGTGAACTTTCTTTTGTGCTGTTACTTGGTTTTGGACTTCCACCTTGTTTCGGGTAGAGCCTTGCTCATCTCTGTGAGGAAATCCCTGAGATTCTCTTGTCTCTGCCACCCATCTTAAATAGGAACCCAGGTTTTTTTTTTTTAATTTATTTTTGTGTTTATTGACTTTTTAACCTTAGAGTAAATTGTAGAGTGGAATTGTTTGATAATGGGTATATACATTTTAAAGATTTGTTACATGGTTAGTTGAAGACTCTTGCTCCTAACTTAGATTGCTGGCTTGAAGGCTAGTTTTCATCTTGATGGATAATTCTTGCATCAGGGATTACTTTACTAATGGAAGATAAAATTGGCTTTGGCTTAATTGACTTGAAGTGGTAAGCCAGTGCTTATCTGGCGTTACTAGAATTTGTAGAGACCCCTCCACATTCTCATATGCTCTTCCAGCATGTTTTTGCTTTTGTAGCAGAATTCTTGCACATTTTGTGGGGGTTCAGAGGATGGCAGGGACGATGGATAGAATGCTAGTCGAATTGTCACTGTTCTGTGAGTCTGTCTGCCCTGGA